GATACCAGAAAACATAAGTTGCCCTTTTATTGGGACACAACACATTTTTGCTTTTTGTCCTTTCCCTTTGACCAGATGCCCTGAAGTCTGGGTGACTTCTTCATCAGGAGCACTTGTAAAGAAAGCAGACAGCGTTGGAGACTGAGCCCGTAAGGGAGTTGGATGACATGGATGTAAAGCTTAGAGCAGGATCCTGACAATTTCAGAACAGGAACTTGCCTGAATCCAGGAGAAAAAGAACCATGAAGCAAATTAATATTTGACACATGACAGAATTTGGGAAAGAACACAGGCAGTCGGCTTTCTCTGAGACATTTCCTGCCTCTATTAGCAGCTTCTCTGTGATGTGATTACTTCCTATAATTTGATAGTCTTTGCAGTTGTGCTCTGTACAAGTCAAAAAATAGGCAGAATACATGGAACAACTGTATTCAGTCATTGGAAAGCAGACAGCACAGGGCTGTGATTCTGCTAAAGCAAGAAATCCTAGAGGCAATTTCTGCACACAAACACAGGAGGAAATAGAGCATGGCAAACTCTGAGTTGGAGAGACAAAGGTTATGAGATTGAAGGAGCCAAGGCAGGTAGAATTTGTGGGGCAGACCACCAGAGAGGAGGATTCTGCACAAAGAATTGCAGGTGTCTCCATAAATGTCTCCTTAACTTTTTGGCTAAACAATCATCTGTGTCTGTGTAGGAAGAAGTTTAAAAAGACAGTAGAGAGAAAACCTAGAAAGAATTCTCCAGCATCCACTGAATGTCCATGCTCTAATAGTGGTATACAACTAAGCTAGAGCAGGAGTTGGAAGACTACAGTCCGCAGCTGTTTCCTGGTTTCTGTAAAGTTTTATAGGGGTGAGAGAAGCATTTCCAAAATGGCAGCATGGAGAACTGTGACTATCTTCTCTCCAGATAAGAAACATAACTGCTGAAAATTCAAAAACATAACCCTTTGAGATCTCTGAAAATTCACAAGTCATGACCAAGTCCCTCCCACAATCCCTTCAGCTCAGTGGGACAGAAACTCTCCTCCAGGTGGAGGTGGTCAAGAGTACGGGAAACCCTCTGCCTCAGCTCCCAGTCTAGGAAAACAGCTTCTAACTGGGGGAGGCAGGTTGCCAGCCAGATTTCTCATCCCCACCATTTCCATGATGGAGAAGCTCCTTTCCTGGTCAGCGTTCCTTTCCTTCACACAGCACCCACTCGTAGGTTGACTCTGAATCCAGTAACAGCAGGACAAAAATACCAGGCTCCAGTCTTCCTCAACCTCTTGCTTATGGAGTGGAGGTTCTATGCTGAGAGCAACAAGACAAGAAGTCCAAGGATACCACCCTCCCAGAGACTCACTCATAGAACAGGGCAGTTGTTCTAAGAGAAGTGAGTCACTGTCCCTGCCCACAGCCCTGGAATATGGTACAGAGGTTCTGCCCCTGGAGGAGGTGGGCCATGAGAACAGACAGCTTTTTAGCTCTTGGTTTTAAGGATAGTGCCAGCAGTTCTGAAATTTTTAGAGTTGCACTGAAGATTAAGAACTACTTTTTCCTTCTTCTTTCCTCCTCTCCCACTTTCCTCCTTTAGTCTTTCTTCTACAGGGGTCAGGCCTGCATCATGGTCTAATGGCTCTCCCAGGCTCCTTTAGCTTCCTCTTTATATTCTCTCACAGGCATTTTTCTAATAAATCCCTTGCACGACTAGCCCAGGCTTGGAATATACTTCTTAGAAGTTCTGAAATAATGTATCATTCTCAGGTGGATTGGAGGTCTTTGGTAGAGGTCATAATCAGTATCAAGCTTGGCTGAAGTGGCTGTCGGTACTAGAAAACAGCAGGTTCTTGTAAGCCTATCTGATGGCACTGGGTCTTTATGGAGATCCTTTCTACTCTAACAAGATGTCCTGATTTTGTTGTTGGGAAACTAAAACCCTGAACATATTAAAGGAAGCAACAGTTGGAATGAGGAAGATTGGCACAGGCGGCAACCATTTATTCCTGTAACAGTGGAATCATGCAACATGTAACACACATAGGATGCATAAGGCAATTTCACTTAGCATAATGTTCTCAAGTCTTATCCATGGTGCCACAAATTACAGAAGTTTCTTCTATATAAAGCCTGAATAATATTCCATTACAATTCATTGCATGTGTGTGTATTGAATTGCACTTAAAATTGCTTAAGAAGGCAGATATCCCCTATACTCTCTAAATTCCCAGAGAACCTAACATCATGCTCCTTGCATTTATTTCCCAACTCTTTCTATAAAATACTTTCAAGGTTTTAATTTTCCTCCTTCTCTAAACCATGTCCTTACTTTTCCAGAAAATGTCATATCCCCATAGAGAATAAGGAAATTCCCTACCCCCTGCTTAGCCACAGCAAGCTATGTCCCTTTCCACCCCCTTCTTCCCTCTCACATCTTCCAAAGCTCCCCAAGTGTAGGCTCAAACAGGGTACAAGACCAAGCAGAAGTACCCCATCTTTAGCCTTGGATCTCACCTTTTATCTGAGCCTGGAATGAGAGAAGTTCATGCTCTCCATTTCTCCCCTCCCTTTGTCCAGCAGGATGCAGTGTGCTGTTGCAATTCTAGAGAAGCTCTAAGCTGCCCTCTGATTGAATTCTCTGGGCATTCCACTCATAGCATCAATTTTCTAGACCATGTTATGGGACTGAAAAATATGAGAAGAAGCCTGAGAAATATCTAGCTCCACCTCTTCACTTTACAGGAGAAACTTTGGAGATCTTGAAACATGAATAAACAGACACACAAGCATTAATCATTTGTGAGTCTAACTGCTTGTTTTACACCTGTGCATCTGTACAAGAAAAAGAGTTTATGTTTAATTTCTCAATTTTGAGAGAGGCTCATTCATCTTTAAAGAGCAGAACCTAAGTTAAGCATTTTTTTAACCCTCACCTCCCCAGGTATATCTCAAAGACTCTTCATTTCATCTTGATCTCGGTGGGACCGAGTGTCAGTTAACCAATGAGGCATAGTAGTAAGGGCTCAGTCCTCTGACCAAGACCCAAAGGATAATGGGTACAATATTGGTGAGAGATTAGAAAATATTCTAGTTTTTAATCATTTGTCTTCCTAACCACAGATCTTATTTATCATCTCTGGAGTAAGAATGTTCTCCACAAGTAAATTGTCTGCATTTTGATCCTGGCTCCACCAAACACAATTTCCTGTGTGATAAATGGCAAGTGACTTAGCTTGTCTGTGTCTCAGTCTTCTTATCTGTAAAATGGGTGAGATTATAATATTACTTACTTCCTGAGATGTTATAAACTTACATGAACTATAAATACCGGGGGTGCCAAAAATGTACACACATTTTGAGATTTTATCTATTTATTACTTTTATTTCACTGTAATCAGAAGTGTCTAGATGATAATGGTAACCACTGTGAGCAAGCACCTTTTGTAATTGCAGAAGTCAAACGTGATTTGTATTCAGCTTTTATTATTGGTATATATGGAGTATTACAATTTTAATACAGTTCTTCCTTTATTAAAATGCATACATATATTTGGCACTCTCTATATATGTAAAAAAAACAATATCTAGAATGCAATAAATTCTTAGGAAATATTAATCATTATTATTACTGTTATCTATAATATCATTAAGCAAACAAATTGTAAAAGCTCTTTTGGAATATATCTTATCATATTTTTCTTAGATTATCTTTACTTAATGTGCAAAGTGTTTATATTTTTTGAAAACCTTATTACTTGGTATTTTCTGCTTTATGTCATAACACTATTGTCATCCAGGGAAATTAATCACAAAACAATTTATAAATATATATTCTCATGTGACAATGTACAAGGTTGCAGTATTTCTTGCTCAGCACTTGATTTAGCTATGTCAAGAGAAGCAGGGTCTCCTGTATCCTTCATTCTCGTAGGTTTTCTTGACATTTTCTGGAGCTCTCATGTACCTCAATGCCATTATGACCTTCTTCTATAAAGATGACTACATGATTTTCACCTCCAAAAGCATTGTATTTTCAGCATATTTTCCTTATCTATTTATGGTTTCCATTTGGCTATGATAATATTACTTTCAACTCCAGACATGAGCAGATTAGTGTATGGTCTCCCCCCATCCCCAAGTGGTTTTGCCCTTGAAAGGTTTTAATCTTGGGGCACTGGTACTTTATTCTTCAATAAATGAGGCAGTTTCTCCAGAACTGGGCTGAAAACATGTGGATTCATCAGAAATATGAAATATTACAACATTTTATCAAATGTCTGAGACTTGATTTTACCTCACACTAGGTCTCCATACATAACACTTTTTGCATTTCTAAACCTGCAACTTAGTGTAAAACAAGAAGGAAGGAAGGGAGGGAGGGAAGGCAGAGGGAAGGAAAGGAAGGGAAAGAGAAAAAGAAAGAAAGAAAGAAGGAGTGAAGGGAAAGGGAAGGAAAGGAAAGAAAAGAAAAGGATAGAAAAGAAAAGAAGTCTCAGCAGGGCTCGGTGTCTCAGCCCGTAATTCCACACCTTTGAGAGGCTGAGGTGAGTGGATTGTCTGAGCCCGCGGGTTTGAGACCCGCCTGGGCAACTTGGCGTGACCTCATCTCTACAATAAATCAAAAAATTAGCCGGGCGTGGTAGCGCGCGCCTGCAGTTCTGTAGTTCCTGCTACTTGGAAGGCTGAGGCGGAAGGATTGCTGGAGCCCAGCAAGTCGAGGCTGCAGTGGCCGGGAGTGGCCACTGCACTCCAGTCTGGGCGACAGAGTGAGACTCCAACTGAAAAAAAAAAAGGAAAAAAAAAGAAAAGAAGTCTCTATCTATTGGAAGGGCAGAATGGGTTCTTGACGAGATCATGGGAAAGTACCACAAACTGAATGTCAGGCACCAGTAACCACTTTTCCATTCTTGGCATAACTGTAATTTTTTTGTTGTTGATTTGTGCCTAGCTCCTGTCTACACACGGGATATTGTTGGCCACAAAACCCCTTTCTATCATTGTAAGGGGTGGGAGGGTGGGTCATAGAGAAATCACTTGGATCTGGAGGCAAGAGAGGAGGCAGCCCTGCAGCACTGGGTCCCTGCTGCTGATGCACAGGTAGACAGCAGAGTCCCCCTTGCCTGGTGAGTGAATGTCAAGAGAGCAGAAAGAAGTATTAGGCCGGCTGGACTGGAAGTTGACAGAAGTGTCTGCTTCATTTTTAAGTTCTTGACCGTAACAGTAGAATAGCAACTTTGGAGTTTGATTCAGCTTTTGTTTGGTATCATGGTTCAGATTCTGAAAACAACTCAGAGTCACTGGTTTTCCCACCCTGGTAACCTGGTATCTTGGGTTCTGAATGACCATAGCACACACATGACCTGTAGAAAAAAAGAAGAAAAATTTACAGTCAGATTTAAGAAGGAGACCAATGTTAATTGCCATGAATGGAAGGCATAGAGCTGAGGGCAAGTTAGCCAAATTTTTCCTTTCTGCCAAGGATGCACCTGCTCCAAAAAGAAAAGGGGTCACAAAGTGAAGAAGCCCAGGACCCATGGCAGGGCCAGAACAGGAATGGGGCATCTGTCTGCTCCAGGGTCTGATCCCTGGATTGAGATGTGGGAGTTGAGAAAGTCCCTGATCTCTGATAGGCAGACGTGCCTGTGATGCTGTTGCTGTTGACTTCACCAGGGCCAGGGTCCTCCTTGTTGCAGGGTTATGCCCAGTTTCTTACTTGGCAGGAGAGTGGGTTTGGCTGGATCAGGTATGAAGCAGATAGTTATTGCCTAAATCACTTACTGCTTCCTTGAGACATGTGTTCCCTTGTGTTCCCTTGTTCCTATTTCTGCCCTATGTTCCTCAAGGCTGATTCACTTTATTTCCATTTTCTCACATCCTAAAAACCACCTAGCAGTTCCTCCACACAAGAACAGTTTTTGCTAAAGTCTCATTTGTAACCTGTGGAGATAGTCTTTGTGTGTTGCTACTCACATTACAGATGAATGACTGATGTCTGTAAACTATTCCCACGTTGATATGGAAACCAAGCCCAGGAACTCCACTTTTAAGAGAGAATCAAGACAATTATCTACATTGTTTGACTTCTTGTGGTCAACAGAAAATAATCTGGAAGCAGTCTTCCTATACTGAGTCATAGAAATTGTGCAGAAGGTTATGGTGCAACACTGCAGAGAAAGGTATCCAGTTCCTCAACTGGTGTCTATGAGATTTTATTCTTTCCAGGGTTCCTCAATCCCTGAACCATGAACCCACAGCAGTTCGTGGCCTGTTAGGAGCTGGACTGGACAGCAGGAGGTGAGCAGCAAATGAGTAGAGCTCCATCTGCTATCAGATCAGTGGCAGCATTAGATTCTCACAGAAGCACAAACCCTACTGTGCATAGTGGAAATCTGTATTATGTGTCCCTTGTGAGAATCTAATGTCTGATGATCTCCCACACCACCCCACCATCTGTAGAAAAATTACCTTCCACGAAACCTTGTCCCTGATGCCCAAAAAGTTGAGGACCACTGCTTTAGACCATCATACATTAGTGGGCTAAGCTTGTTGAGCCTTTTCTTGCTTCTTTAGACCTGAATTAACACATTCTCATTGTAGGCGTACCTGTCTTTTCTGTTGCAATGTGTTTTTTTTCTTCTTCTTTATAGTATAATGTTTTTCTGGATTTTTAAATTAAACTACCTTCTTGGGGTTTGTAGTACATTCAAAAACTGGAAATTTAGCAGTCTTATATGAATATACTTTTATATTTGTGCACTAATGAAGAATAAATCCTATTTTTCTACAGTTTGAGAAAATCTTGAAGATCTTAATGTAGCTGATAAGACATATTTATTCACTATCCCACTCTTATATATAACCTGCAATAATCTTCTAGTATTCAAAATCTTAGTACAAATGTCTTCTTTTAATTCCAATACCTTTTTTGGTTGTTGTTTAAGAATTGATGGGTTGAAAAATTGATATTAAAAGTTAGATTAAAATAAGTAAAACATGTAGAAAATTTGTAAAACTGAATGTGGATCAGGAGACAAATTATAAATAAATAAATGTGAGTAATGATAACTTCATTCAAGTGCGAAAATTTGTGAGTACATATATTGAGGTGTTAAATGATTTTGTTGATATTCTAGTCAAATGTTGGTAGATCTAGATATTTTGCAAAATTAAGATGATATGTTTTAGGTTGTTGGAATCTGGTATTTTAGAGTTGTATAAAGGGGGGATTAGAAATAGAAGTTTAATTAAATAGTTGTATTTTTTAAGCCACTTGGTGTCTGTCATCTTAAATGAAAAGTGTCAATCAGAGATGGCTTTTCTAGACACAAAGAAACACATAGCCGCTCTGTGACTGTATTGTACAAACTTTTATTTTTAGTCACTCCTTTCTCAGACAACTAGAAGTGAGTTTCAGGAAATGATTAGGTACTTAGTGCATTTACTATAGACAATGCATTTCTATTTCCACCATGTTAATACATATTTTTTAATATTTGTGTCTAGATTCAGGCACTGATTGCATAAAATTTAGAGTATGGAGATATATAGGTGTTAAATAGGCTCTGTATCCAATTTTTTTGGATTTATACTTGAGATGAGGTGCCTTATACCCATAATTATTAAAGATGGTTTCCAGAGCTTGGCTACTCAAGGTGGTTCAAAGACCAGCAGATCTCTGGCATCCCTTGGACTCTTGTACAAAATGTGGAGAATCCCATGTTCTACCACAGACTGATTGGATTAGAATCTGCATTTTTTTTATTAATCAATATTTTTTTATTATGGTTTTGTGGGGTACAGTTAAGGGTTAGGTGTACAATTACATTTCATTCAGGCCCCCTGTTGATAAGAGGTGTTTTCCCATCACCAGACAGATATTTGCTACACTTAATCCCATCCCCCCCCCATAGTTTCCCAGTACCGTCAGTCATTTTCTTATAGTATTACATTGGATGTTCAAGGTCCATTATATGAGTGAGAACATGCGATACTTGGATCTTTGTTTTTGTGAGATGTCACTCAGTATTATAGACTCTAGTTCCATCCAGGTTGCTGCGAAATTCATGATTTTGTTCTTTTTTATGACTGCGTAGTATTCCATCATGTATATGTACCACATTTTTTTAATCCAGTTCTCTTTTGATGGGCAGCATGGTTGCTTCCGGGTTCTTGCTATTGTGAACCACTGTGATAAATATACGTGTGCAGGTATCTTTTATATAGAGTGATTTGAGTTCTTCAGGTTATATTCCCAGTAGGGGGATTCCGGGGTCATATGGAAGGTCGATTTTTAGAGCTTTTAGGAATCACCACACTGCTTTCCACAGAGGTTGCACTAGTTTACACTCCCACCAACAGTATAGAAGTGTTCCCTTTTCACTACACCCTCTCCAGCAGCTGTTATTTTATGAGTTGTTGATAATTGCCATTCTGACTGGAGTTAGGTGGTATCTCAGTGTGGTTTTAATTTGCATCTCCCTGACGATTAGTGAGGTTGAGCATTTCTTCATGTGTTTGTTGGCTGCTCGGATGTCTTCTTTTGTGAAGTGTCTGTTCATATCTTTTGCCCATTTTATAATGGGGTTGTTTGTTTTCTTCTTTTCAGTATGTTTCAGTTCCTTGTAGATCCAGGATGTTAAACCTTTGTCAGATCTAGAGTTAGCAAATACTTTTTCCCAGTCTGTAGGCTATCTCCCTGCTCTCTTGATGGTTTCTTTGGCTTTGCAGAAGCTTGTCGGTTTAATGAGGTCCCACTTGTCTATCTACTCTCTTATGACCTGTGGGTTTTGGGTTTTGTTCAGGAGTTGGATGCCAGTTCTGATTTCCATGAGGGTATTTCCTTCCTTTTCTAAGGTTCTTATGATTTGAGGTTTTACATTTAGGTCTCTAATCAATTTGGAGTTAACCTTTGTGCATGGGGATAGATAGGGGTCCTGTTTCAATCTTCTGCATGTGGTCAGCCAGTTTTCCCAGCACCATTTACTGAACAGGTTCTCCTCTCCCCAGTGGTAGATGGTGGGGGCTTTGTCGAAGATGAATTGGTTGAGAAATTGAGGTTTTGCTTCTGGAATCTCAATTCTATTCCATTGATCTATATGCCTGTTCCTGTACCAATACCAAGCTGTTTTGATGATTGTAGTTTTATAGTAAAGTTTGAAGTCTGGTATTGTGATACCACCTGCTTTGTTTTTTTTTGCTGAGGATTTTTCTGGCTATTCTTGGATGTTTGTGTTTCCATATAAATTCCTGTGTTGTTTTTTCTAGGTCTGAGAAGTATGTTGTTGGTAATTTAATGGGTATTGCATTGAATTTGAAGATTGCCTTAGGTAAGATGGACATCTTCACAATGTTGATTCTTCTAATCCATGAGCATGGGATATTTTTACACTTGTTCCTGTCAGCTTTGATTTCTTTGAGCGGTGTTTTGTAATTTTCATTGTAAAGGTCTTTCATGTCTCTGGTTAGGAAAATGCCAAAGAATTTCATTTTTTGTGTGGCTATTGTGAATGGAATTGTGTTTTTTTATTTGGGTTTCTTTTTGTTTATTATTGGCGTAGAGAAATGCAATTGTCTTTTGTACATTTATTTTGTATCCTGAGACTTTGCCAAAGGCTTTTATCAATGTAAGGAGACCTTTGACAGATTCTCTTGGGTTTTCAAGGTACACCATCATGTCATCTGCATAGAGAGATAACTTGACTTCCTCTTTTCCTATTTGAATACCTCTGATTGCCTCCTCTTCTCTGATTGCTTTAGCCAGGACTTCCAATACTATGTTGAACAGGAGGGGAGAGAGTGGGCATCCTTGTCTAGTTCCAGTTTTCAGGGGAATTGGTTCCAATTTTTGTCCATTTAGGAGTATGCTGGCTGTGGGTTTCTCGTAGATGGCTTTTACTATTTTGAGGTATGTTCCCCGTATGCCTAGATGTTCAAGGGTTTTTATCAAGAAGGGGTGCTGGATTTTATCAAAAGCTTTTTCTGCATCTAGTGATATGATCATGTGGTTTTTGTTTTGACATCTGTTGATGTATTTAATTACATTTATGGTTTTACGAATATTGAACCAGCCTTGCATGCCAGGAATGAAGCCTACTTGGTCATGATGGATGATTTTTGAGATGTATTGCTGAATCCGGTTTGCTAGGATCTTGTTGAGAATTTTAGCATCTATGTTCATCAAAGATATTGGCCTGTAGTTCTCTTTCTTTGTTGGATCTTTACCTGGTTTGGGTATCAATGTGATGTTGGCTTCATAAAATGATTTGGGGAGAGTTCCATCTTTTTCAATCGCCTGGAATACCTTCAGTAGGATTGGTATCAGCTCCTCCTTAAATGTCTTGTAGAATTCTGCTGGAAAGCCATCTGGACCAGGGCTTTTTTTTGTAGGAAGTTTTCTTATTACATAGTCTATTTCCTTGATTGTTATTGGTCTATTTAGGGTCTCAATTTCTTCTTGTTCCAACCTAGGTAGGTTGTGTGATGTCAAAACGTCCTCCATTTCCTTAAGGTTTTCAAGTTTGTTTCCATGCAAGTGT